TCTCTAATTAATATTGTTTCATAATTTAACTCTCTTATTTATAGGTTTTGATTTCAAAATTCAAATCCGTTTATATTTTTTATTTATTTATTTTTTTAAAAACTCATTAAACAAGCATATCAATAACTAAGTTATTAACCTATAAAATCTAATCTAATCCCATTAAATCAACAAAATATTTAAGAGTCAAAATTAAAATTCATAATTTATCTCCCAGTATATCCCACATAAAATGAATCAATTTGAGACAATTGTTTGAAGTTTAAAACTAATTAAATAAGAAAGTCAATTAATTTGAAGTTTTGAATTAATATAGTTGATATTTTTATTTCCATATGAATAGCTGAAAATCTCCAAGATGGTATCTTAGGATCCTAATTTTTTAGAAGATAATGATTTCCTTATTCAAAAACACTATATATATATATATATATAATATATATATATATATATATATATATATATATATATATATATATATATATACACGATTACACTGAAGTGGTTATTCTTACGATTTTAGATTCAGTCCTATGATTTATAGTGTTCTTCTTGAGCAATCTTCTTCTCCAGTTCTTTTTTCCAAGCTCTTACTTTACTTTGTTCTCCTTATTCTTCTTCAATTTCTTGCATTTATTATGTTCTTATTATTTGTTATTATTGTGTTTTTGTTGAGAGGTCATGAAAAAAATTTATCAATCTACTTTAAGCATATTAGTTTCATTCATTTAGTTACAGAAACAAAATTATACCCTTTATATCGATTTTTTCATGTGTTCCCCTCTTTTTGTCAAGAGAAAGCCATAAAAGTCATTTTAATGCATGATGACAAAGCTAGTCGAATAGACCAAAAGCAGGATAAAGAAGTTTTTTATTGTTACACTTCAACTTACATGAACAAACACGTATCTGTTGTTCCGAGGTTTTCAATAACTCTTTTATACATATTATTATAATCTTCGATTAAAATTTCTAATTTTATATTATTCAATTTGTTTATATCAACGGTTTTAGTTCAAAATCACCATTATAGTACAAGACTCTACCGGCGTGATGTTACTTATGTTATTTGATCTTTGATGCAAAGAAACTTCTAGAAAAAAAACACACAAGAGTTGCTTCTAAAGTTGAATGAGGTTATCGATGTTAGCTTCATTTACATAAAACTAATTTTTACTTTTTGTCTGTTTATTTTTATAACAGTTATTTTTTTAGGAGGGTAATATGAAGATTTATCCGTTTGCTTTGAAATTACTTTTTGATAAAAAGTTGGCGTTCAAAGTTCAAATTCCTCATTATAATTTGAAGAACAATGTTGATGGTTATGCAATCTCAAAGTTCAATGTTGATAATAAAATCACAGTTGAATTGGAAAAAGAAAATTAACATCAAACATATAACATTCTTTTACGAAACATACTACAAACACTACACCTATTATATTAGTTTTTTATATTTTAGTTGATCAACTAATATATTCTATGTACTACAAATATAGGTGTTGTAATCCGAATTGTTTAACATTTTATCGGTGAAATTCGGATGTCAAGACACATTAAATTTAAAGGTTTTAAATATAATATAACTAAATTTAATGCTTTATATACTTTAAAATATTATTAATTTTTAGATTGGCATATGAATTTATTGTCTATATTTAGAATGTAGCTTCGTTTACTGGTGATAACATCATACTCGCTTCGAATCCTGATAAAAGTATTGCAACAAGTCCACCAACTAAATGGACATCCTTTAAAAATGTGTCTAGAAATGAAGAATTAAAACACAACTTGGAAGATGTTTATGATGTTGATAATCCAGAAACAATGTCCTCAACCAAACGATCATTAACATCAATGACAAATCGTACTTCTGGAGAAGGCAAGCCAAAACTCTTAATTCCAAAGAAAGAACAATAATATATGATTTTCATGATTTTATATTAGTAGTTGGGTGATTCGAGTACGGTTGATTTCATATTATGTCTACATACTATTTGGTTTGTGGGTTTGGTTTTTGATTACTTTGTTTCATAGTATTCGATTTTTGGGTTAGAATTTTGATCATTTAAATACATTTTGAGTTTTATGAAATGTTAAATTATTCATCTATTTTCCTTTTGGGTTTAAACTCATGAATTTAAAATTTTAATCATTTTTTACTCTGTTATTCCGTTTGAATGTGAATTTTTCTGCATTGTTACAATGTTATTCATTATAACTTCTGTCACACCTCCGAACAAGACGACGAAAACGTCCAAGGACTCGAGTGACTATCAATTGAATACCATCACAATGAATATGCATGAACAAACACATACATCACCAACATTACATAGTACAACTATCATTGTTAACATCAAGTACATTGTTTAAATATTACATATCCATAGCATAAATTGTTTGAGAGTCACAAAACAAAACATCCTAACACACTTGATAACTTTCTTCAGCTTACTTGTTACCTGGAAATACAAGTTGTTTTGAAAACGTCAACATATATAATGTTGGTGAGTTCATAAGCATGCTTGATATAAAATTTGTTTGTATTGTTTGTAAAAACCCAAAAAATCTGATATTTTCTGTATAAAAACTGTTTGCAAAAAGATACGATGATTCCATAAGTGCATGTGTATGTGATTTCAAAAACAAGTAAAAATGATTGTTATACAAAATTGATTCTTGTATTATAGTTGTTGAATGTAGGATTGAGTAATGTTGTTCCCCCGGAAAACCCAATGTTTTCCAATACAAATAGTATGATAGTTTGTGTATTATTGTATCATCACCACGAGTGAATATGATTTCTCATGATTATATAGATGGTATTGGATCTCTATGTGAGTCGTTATAACCATGCATAATAATGACTAATTCGCCTGTCTTGGCATTGTTTCCAAACGTCGGTTTTGATTAAGATTTTATCACCCTAGATTGGCCGAGTCTAACTGTAGCGAACAGGTCAGGTATGGGGGAGTCACCCCCGCATAGATCTATACACAAACTCCCGCTCTCCCTCCAGGAGACTCTGGTTATAACTACAGACTACGACCGCCACTTATTGGTGTCACCCATTATTTGCCACTAAATCCAACTGAAATTGAATAACCTTGTTTAACAACCTGATTTATGTTTACTTGAATAAAATGTAAGCCTAACAGACGAAGAGAAGGGGAAACATAGACCCACTAATCATGTGTGTTATTATAGGCCGTCGAGTATACGACGGACACGTTAGTCC